AGTCACATGGACGAACTCCTTAGTCATACTGAGTCTCTCACAAGTATACAAGAAATGTATATGATATTAACTCTGTTTTTTTTTTTTTTTTTTTGTCTATCCAGTGATTGCCTAAGGAAGAGACTTGGTTTCTGGCATTGTTACATTTGGCAACTCTGTGATTAATTTAGCATAGCAGTCCTAAGAAAAGCTGAAAGATACTTTGGTATCTCTTAGCTTTATTATTTTATCATTATTTAAAAAATGGCAAAATTCCTTATAAAACTGAGGATTTACTGAGTTTAACAATGAAAGTTTGTTAAATAATTAAGTCACTTTGTATAAAATCATTGAGCTTTCAGGTAACCTTTTATTTCTTGTCAGGTAGGAAGCTAGTTTTCAATCTCTGAGAAAGGCTGTGCTTATGTCTAATTTATCTATTCTAAACAGATGATAGTGTAACAGCCATTACATGTTCTACTAAAATGAAAGACACAATAATGCTTAATAGATGTAAAGTGAGATGAGTGTTTGCAAAGAAATGCATGTATTAACAATAGATATTTTTAAAGTAAAGGTAAAGTAAAAAGTTTTAAAGCAAGTGTTAAAGGTCTGAGAGAGGGAGAAAAAGAAATGTTAAAAAGGAAAAGTGTTAACCAATAAGAAAGCAAAAGAAATGGTCAAAGGTCTGAAAGACAAATTTTAGAAAAAGAAATTTTGTGTGCTCAAGTGACTTATGGGAAAAGATTTTAATTGACTTAAATATCAGTGGTGTACCTATGTAACACCAAACTTTAGTCTTTTTTTTATATAAAAATCAAGGTATTGGGCCTCCCTGGTGGTGCAAGGAGTTAAGCACAGCGCTGTAAATCTGTCGGCAGCCTCTGCAACACGACTTCAATTCCCCAGCCCACCAGGGAGTTACCCACATGGCGCAGCAGACCTCTCCTGTCTCCCCGCTGCTCCCCTCTGCAGTGGATTTCAGTTCAGTCTACTGGGTTTTTCTCCCCTATGTTGTTGCCATATCTCCTGATTGTGGGGAGGGGTCATCTGTACTTTGATATTGAATTTGCTCTTTGAGCTGCTGTCCAGGGCACCCCAGGACTGACTTCTAATAGGAAGGCTTGAACAGATCATCCCTAAAGTGGTACACAAGGCATGTGGCTCTTTTGTAAATGCTCTAACTAAACTTAGCGTTTTCCAAAGTCTTAGGCTTGTAGGGTGATGAATGGATCCATGCCCGGTGTGGCTGTGCCCACCAGGGCAGGGCCAAGGCAGCCCCTGTGCCCCAGGGGAAGCACCGTGGCCCACCTGCAGGAGCCTGGCCTGTGGCTCCTTAGGGTCACCTCCCCTTTGCAGCCAGGGGACCTCAGCACCTGCTGACCCAGGCAAGTCGGCTTCTCTGAGTTCTGCCCCAGCTGGGCAGTAACACATGCCCCACGGACCTGCCTGCCCCTGTACCCCCACATTGGCACTTGCTCTTCCGCCTTTCCCCAGCCGGAAGGGCCTGGCCTCCGTCCCTCTCAGACTGAGGAGACTGTGGCCACTGGCATCCGGCTTCCTGCCCTCCCTGCTTCCCCAGGGTCCCTCCGGAGCACTCCCGGGCTTTCTGCCCATCCCAGGGGCCCCCAGGCTCCCTCCTGCCATCCTGCCTCCTGCCATCTCTCCCCTCTCCTGGTGCAAACCGTGTTCTCCCGCCTGCCTTTACCTGTCCGAGATGGGGGTGTGGAGTGGGGCCGGTGGCCCCTACTCCGAGGCCGAGGGTGGCCCTGGCCGGCGGCTGGAAAGACAGGGGAGCAGGGGAGGGAAAGGGGGGGGTGGGAGCACATGTCTGGAGCGTGGGGCACCGTCTGGTGTGTGTGTGGGGCGCAAGCTGCAGGGAGAGGCTCAGCTCCTGCTCCTCCATCGCCCCCTTTTCCCCTGTCTCCTATCATCCAGAACCCCTGCCCCCACCGCGCCTCTTCCTCCCCACCCCCTCCTGCCCCGCAGCCCAGGCTGCCAGGCCTTTCAGCTCTGCCCCAGCCCTTCGCCCATCCTCTCTGTCCCTCTCCAGCTGCCAGCCCGGCGGCGGGCGAGTCACCCGTCCTGAGCCCCAAGTCCCCCTCAACCTCTAACTAGACCCCCCTCTGGCGCGCACCTCCCTTCCCGAGCCTGCGGGGGCTGTTCCGTGATGGGGCTCCCCAGCCCCCACTTCGCCTGCGGCTTTAGTCTGTTGTGGTGACACAGCCCAGCGGGCCTCGGTGACCCTGGTGTCCCCTGTGGGATCGCGCCTGCCCTGCCCTGTAGACATCTGTAAATCCATACTTGTGCATGCAACGCACACGCACACACACACATGCACACGCACACACACACGCATCTCTGGTGCTGGGAAACCAGAGCTGTCCCGCAGGAGCCCCTGGCCCAGCTGCAGAGAAATGCTGCGCCCCGCCCGCCCCCACCAACCCCTGCGCCCCGGCAGCCCCCGCCCTCCCGCCTCACACAGTCGCCCTCGGCACCCCTGCCCTGCCCCAAAGGGCGCTGTGCCCTCAGCTGTGCGGTTTCGGTTCCACGTCCTATGGGCTCTCGCTGCGAGCAGAGCCCGTTTCTGACCAGCGGGAGCGAAGGGCTGCAGGCGGCTGTGCCCCGGAGTTCAGGGGGAAGGGAGGGTTTAAGCACGGGATGGGGCGCAGGGGTGCTGGGGAGGACCCCGTCTTTCCAGGCTGCCCTGGAAAGCACCTGGACGTTCCCTGGTCGTCTTCTGAGCCCTGCTGTGGCCACCGGGGATAGGTGCCAGCCTGGAGGCCGTGCGGGCTGGCTGGGCGCCCCAGAAGAGCAGGGGGAGAGCAGAGATGCCCAGGCTGGAAGCCAATACCTGGGGTGCTGGCACCCTGCTTTCCTTCCACAGGACTTGACCAGGTTTCCCAGCCTTGTCATCTGAGCAGGGCCCTGGCCCTCCTGGGCGGCGCGCAGCCCACAGGCCTGGCAGGCTGGAGAGCTGAGCGGGGCTGGACACGCAGACGCCGCGCGGGGTACACCTCGCCACCCAAAGCCTGCCCTCTGCCCACGGGACCCACCCCTGCGCGGCGCCCCAGCCCAGGTCCCAGGGCCGCCGCTGAGACAGATGAGTCTAAGTCACGTGGTGAATTCGGTTTATTGAGAAATAAAAGTGGAACAGCCGGGAACACACCCTGTCCTGGACTCCTCCATCTGGCGCAGGCGAGCGACAAATAAGTTTCCTCCATGCCAAATAATTCATAGAAGCCTCCTCTCCCGGGATGTCCCAGGACAGCGTGCATGCTGCGGGGCACCCCTGCGCCCTCCGCCCGGCCTCCACCAGTCACCATGGCCGGCCTCTGAGCCTAGCCCAGTTGTCCACACGGCTAGTGGAGTACGTGTGTACCTCCAAATTGCCCAAATAAGCCACACATCCCCTCTATAGGGACTTTTGTAAAAGCAGCACCAAAGGCCACCCCTCTGCAGATACGGGGTGGCCTCCAAGATATGTAGGCACAGAGGCTCACGGGACTTTTTAAAGAATGCAAGTGGAGGCCACCCTTTGTGGATTGGGGTGGCCTCATGCCCACGGGTCTTTTGTGACGGGGATGGGGAGGCCACCTTTGCGGTTGGGGTGGCTCATGCCCAGGACTTTTGTGGGAGGGGGCAGGGGAGGCCCTTTGCGGATTGGGGTGCCTCAGGCCTGGGGACTTTTGTGAGGGGGGATGGGGGAGGCCACCCCTTTGCAGATTGGGGTGGCCTCATGCCCAGGACTTTTGTGAGGGGGACGGGGGAGGCCACCTTTGCAGATTGGGTGGCCACCCATCTTGTGAGGCTTTGCAGATTGGGGTGGCCTCATGCCCAGGGTCTTTTGTGAGGGGAGACAAGGGAGGCCACCCCTTTGCGGATTGGGGTGGCCTCATGCCCTGGGTGAGGGGGGACAGGGGAGGCCCCTTTGCAGATTGGGGTGGCCTCATGCCCGTGGACTTTTGTGACAGGGGATGGGGAGGCCACCCCTTTGCGGATTGGGTGGCCTCATGCTTGTGGGACTTTTGTGATGGGGGGATGGGGGAGGCCACCCCTTTGCAGATTGGGGTGGCCTCATGCCCACGGGTCTTTTGTGAGAGGGGATGGGGGAGGCCACCCCTTTGTTGATTGGGGTGGCCTCAGGCCCGTGGGACTTTTGTGAGGGGGGGACGGGGGAGGCCACCCCTTTGCGGAATGGGGTGGCCTCAGGCCCGTGGGACTTTTGTGATGGGGGAATGGGGGAGGCCACCCCTTTGCAGATTGGGGTGGCCTCATGCCCGTGGGACTTTTGTGAGAGGGGATGGGGGAGGCCACCCTTTTGCGGATTGGGGTGGCCTCATGCCCGTGGGACTTTTGTGAGGGGGGGACGGGGGAGGCCACCCCTTTGCGGATTGGGGTGGCCTCATGCACGTGGGACTTTTGTGAGGGGAGACAGGGGGAGGCCACCCCTTTGCGGATTGGGGTGGCCTCATGCCCGTGGGACTTTGTGATGGGGGGATGGGGGAGGCCACCCCTTTGCAGATTGGGGTGGCCTCATGCCCACGGGTCTTTTGTGAGGGGGGGACAGGGAGGCCATGCCCTTGCAGTGAGTGGGGACAGGGGATGCCACCCCTTTGCATATTGGGGTGGCCTCATGCCCGTGGGTCCATTGTGAGGGGGTACAGGGGAGGTCACCCCTTTGTGGCTCTCTCTGGCTAGTCTAGACATGTGTGCAGGGCCTTCGAAGTGCTGTCCTGCACCACATGGTCGGGGAGGCACCTTTCCCTAAGATGGTGGGGTCTGCTCCTGTTTCCCCCATTGGATGGGGGAGTTATTATCCCCCTTTTGATAGCCTAGGGATAGGAGGACGACCAGGACGGGGAGCCAAAGGACAGGGTGTGAAATTCCGGGGAACGGGGATGGGTTGGTGAGGGCCAGGTGGGGGCAGAGCCCCCGGCCCCATGCTGGTGGCCTACACCACCATTATTTTCACCACCTCGATGTTGTCAGCCCAGTAGAAGAATGGGAAGAACAGGATGTTTCTGGTGGCGACGCATTCCCGGGGGCTCTGTATCTCCAGGGGAGTCTGGCCCAGCTGGGCCTCTCCCTGGGTCGGCCTCACGGCAGCGGCGAGACGCACCTCACTCGGTTCTTTGGAGTGACAGAGACAGGGCGCTGAGTGCCAGGCGGAGGGTTCTCTTCCTGCCCGGCCACCCGTGGGGTGCTTTCCTCACCTTGGCCCTTGGCAGCACCAGGCTCCTTGGGGGCTGGAGGTGCACCAGTGGGCTCAGCAGCAGGGTTCTGGTTGGCTGCTTGGAACTTGGCCCGCCATTCGCTGCGCTAGGCTGCCACCCGGAAAAGCAGCTTTTGCATATTCGACAGCTTCACCTGGAAGGAGAGACTCTTGGAAGCCCGCCCCATCCCCAGCCGCACCACCCAGGAGCCAGAGCTCTGACTACCTTCATCTCCTCTTTGTCCTGGGCCAGCCGGCTGATGTGCTGCTCCTTCTCGCGGAGCTCTGCCCTCATCAGTGCTCTCTGGTGCGCGTAGAGCATGATGTATTCTCCTAGGGGGAGGGTGCACGGGCAGCTCAGCTGCTGGGGTCTCGCCAGCCTCAGCCCTGGCCCCAGGGTGCCAGCCTCCCCGCTCACCGATGGTATCTTTCTCTCCAGACAGCTGGATGCATTGATGCTCCAGCTCCTCCACCCGCTCCTTTAAGGCTGCTTTCTCCTGCAGGAGCCCCTGTGGCCAGAAAGCGGGCTCAGGGCGCTGGCCCACCCAGCACCCGGCCCGCCCAGCCCTCTGGAGAACCACACTCACCTGCAGTTTGTCCATGGCTCCCTGAAGGGCCTGGTGGGTCTCCCCAGGCACATGTTCCCCCACGGTCCTGGGGGCTGGGGCCTCCATCTTCTTGGGCTCCTGGTCTGATGGGGCCGCCTGCTGAGCCAGGCACCGGCAGAGCTGCTTTTGCCCCTTTAGCTGCCTGAACAGCCACGCCCACTCTTCCTCAACACCGGCCAAGGCCGCGTTAAAAAATGCCACCTGTGGGCCAGAGGTGCAGGGTGCCCCTGTGGGCCAGGCAGGGGCCTGGGAGGCACACCTCTCGGGGCCTCATGGGCACACCTGAGAGCCGAGGCTGGTGTTGGTGCTGCCCGCTGGTCCCCAGCAGAGGTGGGGGGAAAGTGTAACCAAAGGGAGGGAAACCAGGAAGAAGGTGTGTGGGAAGGAGGGAGAAGATGGGGTAGGGAAGGGGCCTGCGGGCCGACTCACCACGGCCTCGCGGCTGTCCAGGTCGTCCGGGATGCTGAGCTTCAGCAGGGGACCCTTGTCCGCCTCTTTCTCCTCCTCCTCACATTCAGTCCATTTACTGTTGGGGGGCAGCCAGAGGGGCTCAGAGAACCCCTGGGTTCTGAAGCAGCCCTGAAAGCCAGCAAGTTCTGCCCCCTCCTCTCTCTGCAACCCCGCGCCAGCAAGTCCCCAAAGGAGAAGGATCCAAGTTGTCCGAGGGGTGGCTTCCCTCTCTTGCAAAGCTGCGCTTCTGCTGAAGTCCCACTCACTTGCTCCAGTCTGAGCCATGAGCTTCAGCTGGGCCTTCAGCTGCTCGTTCTGCTTGCTGGCAGCCTCCAGGCGGCCCTAAGGGGTCAGGAAAGTAGGAGGAGGGATGCCACTTACAGGGCTTCCTGCTCGGGCGGCCCCCCTGTGGGTCTGGCACTCTAACTTCCCCACCTGTGTTTCCTGCAGCTCTTGGCGGGCCAAATCCACCTCCATCTTGTTCTGCTTTTGTTTGTGCTGCATCTGGTGGACAAGCTGGGTGCTAAGCAGCACCTGCTTCTGCAGGACATCCCTCTCGTTGGCCAGCTGCTGGTAGGCGGCCACGTGCTGCTGGTAGGCAGTCATGTACTGGTGAAGGTGACCAAAGTACTGGTCCCGCTGCTGCTGTAGCTCCTGAGCCTCTTGATGTTTCTCCTCCACCTGCAGGGGAGACGCGGGGAGGGGAGGGTGAGGGCAGGCGGTGGTCAGTCTCCAAATTGTCACCAGAACCCAGCTACCTCAGCTAGACACTACCACAGGGGAACCAGTAGTGACCATCACTACTGGCCAGTGCTGCCCAGCACTCTTGGTGATGGGGGACTGGAACTCTGCTGGTACTTCTGGTGGACACTACCTGGGTGAGCCAGACACCACTTGTGGCCACAGTAAGCTGTTGCCTATTTGTAAAATGACCCCCAAGTTGGTTGTTCCCAGAGGCTGAAATCTCTTGCAATTGTGCACATGGCTGAGATGCACAGTGATGAGTCCCCTACCAGGCACTATCCTTCCCTCGGCTCTAGCCTGTAGACCCCTGTCGATGGGGACTGTGTTGCTACGGCCCTTGGTTTTGGCGCTGGGGCTTTTTGGTGGTTCTGTTGTCTTCGAGCCGGGGCAGGTGGGTGGCCACTGTGGCCTGTCCTGGCATCCCATCCTCATGCCCTGTGACTCCCCTTTTCAGTTGGGATCCCAGCCGGTGTCAGAGACACCAAGCGTTAAAAGCCCTTGGTGAGTTGCTGGACAACACCGACAAGCAGCTCTTTCAGACACGAGGCCAGAGCCTTGGGCGCCCCCTGCAGGTGATGTGAGACACAGGACTGGAGGCCAGTCTCTGCCAGAGGTCTTCATCCTCTCTTCCTCCCGCACAGGCTGGCTACTGGACGCTGCTTTTCTTCTTTCAGCTTCTGGTCCTTCTTTCTTCAGAGGCCAGGAACAGAGTCTTCCCCTTCTTTCATTGGAGGTGGGAACAGAGCCCCTGAGCTCCCTCTGACCCTGGCTTCTATCACTCTTCAGGGTGCCCTGACATCAGTTTGATTGGAACATTTTTCCTTTTTTGTGCAGAAGAACCAGGGTGCTGACCAGAGGTGGAGAGTGAGCAGAACAGGCCGACTAACTGAAATCCACTGCTGAGGGGAGCAGCCAGCAAGGCAGGAGGGGTCTGCTGCGCCCCATGGGTCGGCTCCCGACCAGGGATCAAACTCAGGCAGTAGTGGTGATAGTGCCGAGACTTAACCCCTGGGCCACCGGGGAGGCCCTGGACCATTTTTCATCCTGTGGCTGACTGGACCGTCTGGCACCCATCCGCTAATAGCCCGCACCTTTTTAGTCCTTCCATCACCCAGGAAGCATGCAGAAAAGGCCAGTTCTGAGGAGCAACTGCCACAACGGCCTTGTGGTGGAGCGGCAGAGTGAGAGACCACCACTGCTGCTGGCTCCCGCCACTGAGGCTCCTCCCAGATCTGCGCGCACAGATGCGGGGGACAGGCTGGGCCCCTCTTCCTGAGGCAGGCACTGTGAGACTTTGCCGCCTGCCCAGGCCCCTTCCTTAACTCTCCTCAGAACTGCCTGCGAGTGCCCTCTGAAGGGAAGGATGCTGAGGCATAGCACTGTTCAGTCAAGAGTGTGCCTGGAGCCAAGGCTGGAATCCAGGATGTCTCCATGTCTCATCTCTCTACTAGTGGCTCGTGCCTCCAGGAGGGAGGTGACCTACAGTCCCGGGTACACGCTCCATGGCAGAGCCTAGGGCACAGGTGGCCATGGACCCGGCAGGACACAAGGTCACTGGTGCCCCCCGCTCTGAGTTGGGGCTCCCTCTGTCCTGGCCTAAAGGCCTCCCTCCCGGAGGCCCCGAGACCTTCCCAGCTGGCGCAGGGCTCACCGTCTCCTGCAGCTCTGCCAGCTTCTCCTGCAGCTGGCTGAGTTTCTTGGCCAGGGTGCGACCCACAGGGTGCAGCGGACCTCTCCTGTCTCCTTGCTGCTCCCCTCAGCAATGGGTTTTCACTGCCTGCTCTGCTCCCTGCTGTCTCTGGGGAGTCCTTTCACCCTGCCTACCCCCCAGTTATATGCAAAAGTAAAAATTTTCAAAAAGTGAGGGGGTGATGTGTGGAGCCCAGCGTCTTCTGTGCAATGTCCCCCGAAAGGGTTTCAGCTAGATCACAGTCACCCCTAGAGACCCAGCCCCACCTGGATGGAGCACAGATTCTCTGGGGTTCTGCTCCAGCCCCTCACCTGCTTCGACAGCAGCTCAGACATCTCCAGCTTCTTCTCCAGGTCCTCCAGTCTCGCCTGCATGGTGTCCTTCTCCTCCAACAAGAGCCGGAGCCGCTCCTCCAGCTCGGAGTGGCACTGCTGCAGGTCCTCATTGGCTTTGCTAGGGCCACGCAAAGGGGAGAGGCATAACCAGAGCCAGAAAGTGTCCCCCTGGAGATCTACCCACCCTCGCCACAGACCCCAGTGCAGTGGCAGGACCCAGGGCCCCAGGGCTCAGCATCGCCAGAGGTTGGCCAGGGAGAGGTCGCGAGCTGTCTGCCCTCCTCACCCCATGCACTTGCATCCCTCCCACTGCCCAGCACAGGGCTGGGCCCAAAGCCTGCCCCCCAGCACCCCACCTGCCCCCAGGCCTACTTGTTCTCAGATAACTCCTGCTTGAGAGCGTCTCTCTCTTGGATTAGCTCCTTGTTGTGCTGCAGACATGAGAGGCAAAGGCGAGGTCAGGATTTGTGGGCAGGGATGCAGCCTGCAGACTCGTTACTAGACAGGGACCAGCACAGAGCAGCCCTCCTCGCCCGGAGTCACACTTCACCTTTTTCAAAGCACTTCCGAGCCCCTTTCTCATCTGCCTTCACTAGGATCTCGGGAGCAAAGGACGAGGCCCACAGCGGCCACCCCCTCAGGCCACAACTGACTACAGCCTTCGAGCAGCTGGCTGTGCTACCTTCTGGGCGGAGAGAGCTCCATCCCACATCAGGGACATTGAGGCTCTCCCCCACCTTGATGGGGGGGGCCCCACCAGGGGCTGGGCAGGCGGCAGTGCTCACCTGGTCAGATTGTCTGCAATGGGTGGAGACGGCAGAAAGCATGCACTCCAGCTCTCCAACACGCAGATGCGCAGACTGGAGGCGACCGGCCAGTTCCTCCGACTCACCTGCCGTGAGACAGGTCAGAGCGCAGCCCTGAGGAGGAGTCACCCCACCGCCCCGTGGGCCTGCCATGTGCCAGGTGCACGGATGAAGGGCGCCTGGAGCCCCACCTGCTTTCTGCCTGGCTGCCTGCTGAGGTGGGCCAGCACAGCCCTCAGTTCCGTCTTCTCAGACACCAGAACCCCAGTGGTCTGGATGTGACTCTTTGGGAAACAAAGCAAATGAGTCGGAATGATGTGGAAAAGAGGCATTTCCTCGGGGACGGGGAACCCGGGCTGCCCCTCACCTGTAACTGCTCCTGGAGTGCACATTGCTCCCTCACCAGCTTCCGCTCGTGGTCTTTCTTCTCCTGCAAAGGGAATCAGGGTCTCCAGGAGGCAGAGGCAAGGCACAGCACCGCGGGCCACCAGTGGGCCAGATGGGCCTACCGGCAAGCCCAGACCATGGGGGTGGGGGAAAGGGGCAGGAGAGGAGCCGGGGGCCCTGCTTGTCTCCAGGCTGGAAGCAGGCAAGACCAGATGCCCCATATCAGCCCCCTCCAGACCCCCACGTCAGGGAAAGAACAAGAAATGTTACTGTTTCCAGCTGATCCAAAGTTTCCTGGTTCTGTTGTTTCTGTGGGGAAAAGTCAAAGGAAGGGAACTGAGTGTCCCCCTTTTCTGTCTTCTCAGACCAGAGAGGGGACATGTGCAGGGCCAGCGATGGGTTTGAAGTTCTCATGCATGAGTTGCCAGACCCTCACGCTCCCAAGGAGACAGACCTTGGGTGGCGCTGCTCGCAGCGACAGAGGGGAGAGTCTGCACCTGGCTCTCCTGGAGGACAACACCCTAAGCCCCAGGCAGAGTCTGAGAAGGGAAGACGACCCTTCTGCCGGCGGCTGACCTGGCAGGGTCTGTCTGTTCACCCGACAGAGACTGAGGTGGCACGAGCTGCAGGCTGGGTTCTGTGCACAGGAAGAGGGGGAGGAAGGAAAAGGACCTGGGATTGTTTGAGCTACTGGAGACCTTGACACCTTCTACATATGCCTCCTGGAGGAACTAAAGCCAGGGCGAAGAGGTGTCTTGTCCAAGGTGAAAGCGGAGGAAGTGAGGGGCTGAGTCAGGGCTGGACCACACCAGCCAAACCAGTGCTTCCCCCAGGGAGGGGGAGCACAGCAGGGGTGTCTGGGGAGCAGAGAAGGGGCAAAGAGGGCAGCCACAAGAGAGCCATGCTGCCAGCTCTGTGCTCCGGGGCCCCTCAAGCTGAGCCCTGGATCCTCCAACACCAGGTTCTCCCCTGGCACCAGGACCCCTGGACCCTCTCTTCTGGGCCCCAAGAGGAAATCGGAGTCCTGGATTGCAGCTGGAATTCAGGGGCCCCAGCGGGCTCTTTCCAGTTCTTCTGTCTTGCTAGTGAGCTGCTTATTTGTTAGATTGCTGGAGACTGGTTCTAGTGCCAGTTCTTGATGCCAGCTCTGAGGTGCATGCAGAGAGGAGGAGGGTTGGAGGAGCGGGGGGCAGGGAGAGAGAGCAGTCCGCAGGGTTGGGAGGGGCATCTGGGCAGTCTCACCTGGTAGTGGGGCACCCAGCCCCCACCCTGGGAGAAGGGGGGGACTGGCCTGCAGATCCTTTGTGTTAACAACAGATGCCTGGTCCTCCCCGTTGACACAGGAGGGAGGTTAGGAGGGAGGTGGAGCGCCCATGGAGCGGCTCTCAGTCCCCCTCAAGGCCTAAGCCCCCGAATTCCCCATCCACTGGCAAAATTTCCTTTTCCTGCCTCCCTTCTGCTCATAATCCCTTTGTGCCAACTTCTCCTGGTACTGAGCTCCCCCTTGACCCCTCACCCCATGCTTCTGCGGCAGGATGGAACCGCAGACTCACAGGCCGACCCTTCATCTGACCGCTCCAAAGGAGCAGCGGCCAGCCAGACATCCCCTGGTGGCAAGGGCCGGCCCCAGGATGCTGCCTCCCTTGGGAACCTTCCCTCAGTGTCTTCCTATCGAACCTCCCCCATAACCCCTCTGGGCCCTGTCCCCAGGGCACCTCTGCTGGAAGTCCATTCAGCTGACAGGACAGCTGCCGCAGGCCTTCGGTGGAAGAGACAGCCCTGGAGACAGAGGAGTCGGTGCCACAGGAAGCTCAGTGGGGTGGGGGTCACAAGCATGAGGTGCCCCAACGCCCTCTACGAGGGGCTGCTGCCCCATGGGAGACACTCACATGCTCTCACCCAATGAACCAGAGCCATGTTCTGCGTCACGGTTCTGTGTGGGAAGAAATGCAGGAGGCAGCCATTCAGTTTGGGGAGAGCCCACCAGGCTGGGGCGGGCCCAGCGCTTTCTGACCACCTTTGGCTCCCCAAGCTCTCAGCCTCCCCACCCCGTCCTCGTCCTCGGGAAGGGCTCTCGGCTCTAGGAAGCGAGTGACATGGAGGACATGGGAGAGAATGGGGGAGGCACGGTCCTTCCGGAAGGGCGGGCGAGCCAGTGGGGTGCAGGCAGGGATAAGGGGCACAGACCAGAGTGGACGCCGTTCTGTTCGCATCAGGGAGGGCAGCGTCGGGAGGAGGGACACCAGGGGACACGGTGTCATGGTTCCCAGCCGGTGTCTCCGCAGGAGGGGTGCGACCACAGGGCGCCTGGCACAGGGCAGAGCGGGGTGGGGGTTAGGGAAGCCATGCAGGAAAGGGGCTGCCTCACTGCCAGGGTGCAGGGTTGCGGGCAGGGAGCACGGAGCTGCTGTGGCCAGAGGACGGTCCCATGTTGGGAGCCACCGTGGCGCGTGGCCGAGGGAGTCCAGGCCTTGGGGCGCTCTGGGGCCTTCCAGACGACAGCCCCAGCCTGGGTGGGCATGGCACAGGTTGTCACTGCAGGAGAAAGGTGTGCCAAGCCCGGGAGAAGCGAGGCACTGTTCTGGAAAGCCCGCCTGGCCCGCACCCTGGGCCCTGCAGGGCAGAGTGGCAGTGTGAGAGGCAGACAGCAAGGCCACCAGGTACTTCTCTCCCCTCTTGTGCCCCTTCTTCCTGTCCTCCTCCCCCAGCCAGAAAGCCCCGGGGATGGACTCAGGGGTCAGCGGTGCGGGAATCTCAGCAGGGGCGGGGGCCAAGGGCAGTGGCTGGAACCTGGTGTTGCCATGCCAACCTCCACACTGGACCCTAAGAGGCCAGAGCAAGGCAGCAGGTGGGCAGGGGCTGTGGCGAGGCAGGCACACCTGGCTGGGGCTTGGCAGGCTCTGGTGCCTCCTGCCTCCTGGGTTCCCTGGATCTTTACAGTTAAGACACAAGAGCACACAGGAGGGGGAAAAGGCCCAATCCTTAGAACTTACATGTCCATGACTGGTCTTTGAGTGACCAAATACATCCTTTGAGCTAGGAACTAAGTTTGGAGTTCAAAAAGACACTCCCTCAATTGCCCCATTTCATCAGAATTATTTTATTTCTGGTGGGGCGGCCCTCCCTTCTCTGGGGAAGAAGCTGCCCCCTGGACTCCATTCTCTCTTGCTGGATTTGGTAAAAGAGAAAGCTGGCCGCTTCCTGCACCCCGACCTCTGAGCTCAAGGACACCCACACACCCGAGATGTCACCAGAGAGCAGATGTTGAACCCCTGACCTGTGGCTTCCTGGAAGCCCAGAGCTTTAGAGAAGCAGCCTCCCCTTCCCTAGCTGGACCCACCTGCTCGGCCAGAGGCCCACTAGCCTCTCCAGGCTCAGGCCCCACACTGAACTCAAACCCCTGGCCCTTGAGAGCTGGCATCCAGCAGGCCGGAAGGAGAGGCAGGAAGGGTGGCCGACAAGCTCCAGTTTGAGGGAGGCAGGGGCATGGCAGGGGCACTAGGAAGGGACTGCAGCTCCCTCGGAGGGAAGGGCTTCCTATTCTCTGGACCCCTCAGATGGCCCCTGAAAACCCAATCACAACCCTCCTTAGAGCAAGGACTGCAGAGCCTGGGTGGAGAGTCCCGCTGTGCATGTGCTTATTGCCCACCTCTGGCCTGGAGCCTGGTGTTGTTGTGCCAACCTCCACAACAGACCCTAAGAGGCCAGAGCAAGGCACTGGGGTGAGGTGGGCACGTCTAGCTGGGGCCTGGCAGGCTCTGGGTGCCTGCTGGTCTCCCGCTGATGCTTAGTTAGACACAAGAAAGCTCACGAGGGGAAAATGTCCTTTATCTTGAGATGTACTATTTCTCTGAAATATACATGGCTGGTTCGTGAGCAACCGCGTTCTGTCATTTCGAGCCTTGTAGCTAAGTCTGGATTTCAAGAAGATAACACTGTCCATGCCCCCTCAAAGGTCCCATTCCGTTAGAAATTGTTTTATTCACTCAGAATCCCCCATCTCTGGAAATGCCCTCAGCTCTGCCCAGAACACCAGTCACGGGCCCATGTCGCTGGGACAGAAAACGTGAGCGGGAAACCCTAATGTCACGGAGAGGCTTAAAAACAAACAGGCGTATGGGGGTCTGGGTCTTCATCTCCAGGGGAACAAAGGAGACAGGGGTGAGCATTAGGGGAAGGAAGCCTGTGCTCCCCCGGGTGCCTCTCAGTGCCTGCTCTGAGCCCACAGGTGAGTCCCAGCACCACACAGACTCAATGGACTGGGCACAAGCTATCCTGGCTACAAGACTCACACCGGACACCTGGGCCGGCACAGCCCTCCCGCCACGCTGTCCTGGACGGGATCTGTCCTGTCAGTTGTCCTCTTGTCGCCGGGTGGCTGTCTGACCCCCCCCGCCCCAGAGGCCTCCCATGTACCTCGGAAGCAGCGCTTCACCTCGGGACAATGTTTTTCTCAGCCAGGGCACCCCGGGCACCTTACTTAC